AAATGTCCCCAAACCAGGGTGTGCAGCAAGATCCTGCGTGCAACATGGTTGTAAATTGTAGGTGAAAACCAGATGTTGCCTCAAAATTTCCATGCTTTTGATAGTGTGCTTAAGAAGTGTATTAACTTTTGACTGTGCGTTTTTCTCTGGCAGCAAACATCTAAAGAATGACTTTCTTTTACATGCATAAAATATTGAAACAGCTGAAGATAAAATTGGGACGTAAGTTGATAAAAAAGAAAAAACAATGTAGTTGCAAGCTATCATTGTGAGGCATTTAAAGAACTGAGGAGTACTGTTGATCTTTTTCTTCCTTTGAGATTTATTGTATACATATTGGTGGGACTCTGGGAACAAATAAGGAAAAATGCTGGCAGTAAAATAAGCTTTAAAATATGTATCCTTTTATACTGTTTTTTAAGGACTTTTAATAATTTTCATACTGTTGTCTCCTAAAATAGCATTAAAGTGGAAAGAAGTCTTAGGGTTTTGAGAATTACTGTCTTATCTTACATAGATTATGCCTATGTATTTATATAAACAACTAGAGATGTGCATATTTAAATAGCTTATTCTAGGACCTTGTATATACTTTTTTATGTTCAAGTAAGTTTTGGAATTAACGTATTGCTAGCTCAGTATGAAGAATTGGTAATGCTCTGTAACACTGCATGTTTCTAAGTGAGTTTATTTAGGCTTTGATCCATACTGTCTATGAGTTGTATTACATGAGTTTTCCGTTAAATTACTTCTTTCATTTTACTTTAGCAAATAATGAAAAATACACGTAGAAAGCATAAAGTACCTCTGTTTATGCAGCTTGTAATGCATGATTGGGATTTCCTATGTGAAGAAAAGGCAAAATAAATGGTGCAAGCAGGGAAGTTAGTCTGCACACATTTTTAAATTGCAGTGTCCCTGTGTATTTAAGGAAGCTGCCTAATGTCAATGGGGGCTACTGAAGGGGAAAAATAAAGAGCAAGTGGGAAATAGGTTCCTATTTGCACTCAGTGTTTAGGAAGAGTGGGAGAGATTTTGCAGGTGTAGGGTATCTGACCCTATGAGCAGGGAACATTCTTGCATCATGAGGCTGGAAGAAGATGAAGGAGGCAAGCAGAGACTACAGCTGTTAGGAGGCATGGAAATAGTTGGATAGCTCAACAGTCAGTGGTTATTGTGTATGATATAACAGTAAGAACCAGACTTTGGTATGAAATTCAAATGTTTACATTACTAACGAAAGTCTAGCCCCTTGCTAAAACAGCAACTGTATTTTGCTCATCTGACTGTGGGCAGCCATGTACTCCCTGGAAGCATGGTGATATTGGTGCCCTTGGGTTTTTAACAAACTCATAGCAGTGGAAATTTTTAGAGCAAAATGCTAAATAAAGGCTTTGGAAATACTGGCAGCATTTTGCTTGCCTGCTCTTGACTACGTACGTTTCTAGCTGCATCTATAGATCTATGTGCGATTTCTAAAAACCAGATAGTTCAAGATGCTTACTGCTCCTTTAGTGCAATAACTGTGCTATCAAAGTAGCTACTGCATAATACAGTAATGAAAGATAGTAATCATGATTTTTTTTTTTTGGATAACATTAAAATATTTAATTGTCTCTCAGTATACACTTTTAACTTATTGATGTCTAAAAAGGAGGCTGATGTCATGAGCCATAGTAGTGAAAATAGATAACTGGGAATCAAATCTCTTGTCAAAGTGATCAAGGAGAACTCTTAAGAGGTTCAGTAACTATCAGGAATATATACAGAGAAATTAATTAAATCCAAGACAGAATTTAGTTGTGAAGATGGCATATAAGATGATTGCAAAACATTTTTATTTGCTGTGGTTTCATATATGACATACCGCAGTTTCCCTTACATTAGAAGTACTTATTAAAGAAAACAGTGATGTGCAGAGGCATGAAGGAGGTTTCCACAATGCACAAACCCCAGCGTTGCCTTCTGTTCTTTTTAAGGACCACATAGTACCTGGGACCCCTTTTGTTGCGTAGGGACCTCAGTTACATCTGGAATCTCTGTGTTACTGCAGTACTAATAATGGTAAAGAGTGCCCATATGTGCGAAATGTCTTGAAGTATAGGAAATGTGGCTTTTTTCTCCCCACAGGAGAAGGTTCCAAAGAACCCTTTAAGAGCTACAATGGGGCTTGGTGTGGTAATACTTGGAAATGAAGTTTTGCAGTTGCCTGAGGGTAGAATATAGATTCAAGCAGATGATTTCTATTCATTGCTTTTTGTTATTTACAAGACTTAGGGTAATATTACATACTGTTACCCTAAGAACCTGGAAGTGAACCCTGTGCTATGCTGTTAGACCAGATGTGGCCTTTCCACTAAATTGATAAAGATATAGTTTAAAAAACAGAGTAATGAATTGTTAATAGCAGCATTTGATCATCAATTTGTATTTTCACAGATACTTGGCTTGCTTTTTCAGTAGAATATAAATGATGTTTATAATATGATAAGGTAATTGGTTTGTGTTTTTAATATAAAAGCATAGCTGTCTTCAAAAGACATTAGAAGAATTTATGGAAGTATGGTCTTCACCCAAATGCAACCTGGAAACCTTTAAACCAGTCTGTGTGGAAGGGAGAAGATACCTACATTCCTTAACTTTCCTTAAGGTAATGGCCATTGTCAAAGATAAGGGATTGGGCAAGATAGACCTTTGTTCTGATCACTAGGACTTTTTTGGTGGCTAGTGGCAAAGGGAGGTTTATCAAACAGAAATGACTGAAATAAAGAGGAGCAATTTGCATGTATAGGTAGATACCTTGGCCCTAGCACATACCTTGAAGATACCAAAAAGACAGATGTGTGAATTAACCTGTTATGCTGTAGTCCTCACTTGGATATCCTCTCCCTCTATAGAGATTCAGTTCCACATCCTTCCACAAGAGGAATTTGCCTGAGACTAGCTGATTCTGAGAAAGATCCTCCTGGGTTCCAAGAAGCATGCCTAGGGAGCCCTCCAGTTACTGAGAGAATGAACTGGCTTGTTTTTTGTCTCCTATCTGATTGCTTCTGTGCGTCTTCATGTACATTTCTCTCTCTGTTACTTAGAAGTGTAGGCAGTATTCATGCCAACATAATTATTAGACATTAGGCAATGGCAGACACACAGATGCTGGGGAAATTTGTGTGCAAATCGGCTCCAAAACGAAATTCTAGATTCATTGTTCTCATCAGAATTCCAGGAGCCCTGAAACCTTAAAAAAAAAACCCAAACAAACCAAAACCAACCAACCAAGCCAGGATCCTGGGTTTGCTGACGTTGCACTCTGTGTCAAACCGAAGCCTAGAATGTAAGTGGCTCAAACTATCTCTTCTGATCTCAGTGTCTGCCATGATCAACCAACAGGTTCAAAAGATAGCCTGAGACAGAGCAGTGTTTGGCTTATGCTCTATTACTGGTAGCTGAACAGTGCTTTGTATAAAATTTTGGTAGTAAACAGGTGGTAGCACATAAAACTTAGTAGCTATGCATCTTCCACACCAATATACCTCTAACATAGGCTGTATACTGAGATTCTTAGAGCAGCCCCAGTGGGATGTCTTTTTCAGTCACAGCACTTGAGCGTAATATCTGAGTTATGTCAGGTTGCTGAATTTTACCTCACCCTCCTCAGTGACTCATTCCTCAGTCTTCCTCCTCAGTCTAATTTCCACAGAATCCTTGCTGCCAGCAGGTATGTTTTGGAGGCCTGAGGAAGAGGCTACATACAGTGTTGAACAGCATTACCTCTGATGTGCACATCCACGGGAAAGAAGTACAGCACAGACAGCATCTCTGTCCAGCTATTTCCCATAGAATAGGAAGAGAGATTCTCTCAGTTGAGAGGAGCAACTACAAAGGGCTGGTGAGAGGGGTGACTTTGGCTGGCTGAAATGCAGCAATGACATCTTCTTGTCTGTTTTAGATACTCAAATAACCAAAGGCCATAGAATAAATGGGCACTATACCTGCTTTTCTCATCCTCCCTGCTGGCTGTACCTACCTAGCCTGGTTCTCTGCTACTCATGTCACCATGCAGAAGGATTTGGCCTTTATATTCATAAATTTTACAAAAATATTTTTATCTACCTGCTGACATCAGCTTTGTGCTATACAGCTCAGTTTTGATCTGGGACAGAATGTGAGGGTGGAACTGGGAGGAATGGAGCTGGAACTAGTCAGAAAAGAAGGAGAATTTCAGCAGCTGCAAAGAAAAACAATGTATGAAATGTTTTGATATTCATCCTTTTTTGCATGCTTGGCCTCCAAGACTCTGGATTATTATTTCTTTTTGTTCTTTAAGCTGTTTAGAGTACATGTGTTCTAGAATTGAAAGTTTTGAAAAACTGTTGTGTTCTCGCTTGTTTAATGTGCTTAAGCTCAACGTGGCTTAATTTTGTACTTGCTGAGAGATTTTCATTCCCATTTCCCACAGCATTGAGTTGTGGCACTTTTATACGGCAAATGTCTTCATTACTGGCCAACTGACGTATTTCATTTGTAAATGAATGCTTGTTCTTATCTATTTTATTGTACATAGATACCACCACCAAGATTTTCTTTTAAATAGATGTGTGGGTGGGGAATTTCAAGGCTAGAGGGGAATCTTAAAAGCGTAACTCTCGTTAATCTTACATTGTGAATAGCTTGGTTTTAGTTGAATTTTGGATTTGTTAAATATAGCTGTGTGAATCGGAACAAAGCATGATTGTTAGAGCAGAGCAGCGAACGGTTCATTTTGGTTATATGCTGCACATCAGTGTCAAACTCTAACAGCTCTGTGTTCAAAGCCTGTATGTTAAAAGCTGAGGGAAGAAAATACAACTTTAAAGTGCTACTTTAAATTACATACAGCTAGAAAGCCTCTATGTTTTTAATAAAATGCAGTTACACATTTCCTCCATGATTAAAACTCTTTCTGGGGAAATTATGCTCTGTATTTCTTACTGTCTTTGTTTTTTTCTAGGGAGGTTTTCAAAATGGATTACTGGAAACTACTTCTTGTTCTTCTTTTTGTTTCCACCTTCTGCTCTGTAGATGCACAGCAGACTGGTAATACACTAAAGAAATTACTCTTCTTCAATTTTGAGTACATGTCTAGCTTTAAAATATTCAAAATAGTGCTGGGAGGGGAGAAGGTCAGGGGAAGAAGGGGAAGGCAGAAGCAACACAGTTACAATTTATTTCATGAATGATGAAATGTACAGTGAATTCTTCCTTGCTTATGAACAAAGCTGGAGACGAAGCTATAGTAATTCATTCTTCTCTGTGATCTTCCTTGGACAGCTTGCAGAAAAGCCGTGTTGGCAGATGTTGTCTTTTTAGTGGATACTTCAACAAGTATTGGCCAGGAAAACTTTCAGAAGGTGAAGAACTTCATGTCCACCTTGGTTTCAAGTCTTGATGTCGGCCTTGATGCAATCCAGGTTGGGCTGGCGCAATACAGTGATGAGACTTACCAAGAATTCTTGCTAAATCAATATATGAAAAGTGATGTTTTGGAACAGATTGAGAATTTGCCATATAGGAGTGGAGAAACTTACACAGGGCGAGCTCTGGATTTTGTCAACAGAGTGTATTTCATTGAACCTGCTGGTAGCAGAGCTAAGAGCTATGTCCCACAGGTAGCCATTCTGATCACTGGTGGAGAATCCAGTGATGAAGTTGAATTGCCTGCTAGGAAACTGAGGAACAGAGGCATCTCTCTCTATGTTGTTGGAATTGGTGTCCAGAATACAACTGAGCTTCAGCAAATAGCCAGCAAACCTTTTGGTAAATATCTGTATAGCGCTCGTAGTTTTGATGACCTTCAAGATGTCTCCACAAGACTTTTGGGAAACTTTTACTTTGCCGTTGAAAGTGAGATAGAAGGTAAGACCTTGTCCTTATACTTGTGCCATTTCAGTTGTTCATACTGTGTAACTGTGAAAATAAGGTGTACTAAAGTCGTTCTGGTTTTGATGTTGTTTATATCAGCGTTAACTGTCATGTAACGTGATTGAAAACAATGGGGCTAATTTTGAGTTAGATTGCAGTTCAGGATGACATCCTTGTTCTTTTTATTTCAGACATATTCTTTCTATTTCAGACATATTTCTGCGTTGAAGTCAGTGAGGTTTAATTGTTATGCTCAGTGTTCTCTGAAGCTGAGCCTTAATGTATTGCAAAGAAAATCAGAGTCAGATTCACAGATTCTATGAAGTACATTCAGTTTAATCTCGTTAGGGCTGGTGGAGCCTTTTTTGGAAGACATTTTGTTTTGATGTCATTGAACAGTTGAACAGAGAATTATTTCTTGATTAAGCTATGCTTTTGGTAACTCTTAATTCCTCCAAAAACCTAGTTCAGAAATTGAACATTCTACGAGCTACAAAAATGAAGGGAAGTCATATTTTCCCTTTCAATACCTTTGCTGAACAGCAAAACTCACAGAGAATGTTTTCCCAGTTTCTTTAAGGACTGTTATTGTTGAATGGTGAAAGGGGGAGGGAAATAAGAGACAGGGTAACAAAACTACAGTCGGAACAAAATTGGTATTTAAACCAATGATGAATGTTTAAAAAGTAACGTAGTTATAACTTCAAAAGGAAACTTTTTTTTTGCTGGTTTTGCAGAGGTCAGCATGGATACCTCCACAACTTTTTCTCAATGAAAAGAAAAGGTCAGGGATTAGGGACTGTGCTGGTAGTTAGGCACTTGGCTTTAATCCCCCTCTCCATCGTAAACTGTTATGCTGAAGGATGCGTTTAGGTCCAGTTTCATTTGTTTTGCATCTTGATGTGCCCTCCAGATATGTATATCTCTTCACTGACTGTAAGTGAAGTTAGAATCAATTTGTTCATGTTCTGATGCCTCCTCTGATATTCAGAGGGACTGTCTTTGCTTTGCAGCAACTCCTCATGCGGTTGTTATGAAGGTAGGTATATTCTGAAGTGCTCAAATATGTCCAATTTTTAGATGCAACCTAAATTCCAGTAGTGATGGAGAAGACTGTGATTAATGGAGTATCAAAGGAATGGAGTGGTAAAGCATACAATCTCACTCCCACAGTCATAAGTAGAAGATTTGGTTGAAGGAAGATGAAACTTTTATCTACATAAAGGCGAAGGCACTGCACAGCTTGTAGTGGTCATGACACCCCCTGGATCCAGAGACAATACCATGGAGGCAGCCTGGATGTTAGAAGAGATGAGGGTAAAAGTTGTCTCAGCTGGCGTTGGGTGCTTGGATGAGGAACAAAAGGCAAGAGCCTCCTCTAACATGACTTCCCAGACCTGTGAAGGGGAGAGCATTGACCTTTTCCGGCAGAACATTGTCAGTGATATGGAAGCCTCGCTTCAGAAGCTTTATGACCTTGATCCAGGTGTGCAAGCAGGTATGATGTATCACCAGAGCAAAACCAGCAGGATGAGTAGCTTCTAACTTATGGGTAATCCAGAGCGACTTCTCAGGTGGCTGTGAGGGAAGAACAGAGTGCAAATGGCTGGCAATTGTACTTTTACAGAGGTGCTATATGGACAAAATATTTACCACCTTTGACTGTGTAGTGGCAACACTTGCCTATGCACAGTTTGTTGTAACTACCTGTATTAACCCAGAGGAGCAGGGCAGTGGTCTAGAGGGGTTGGCTGCTGTGGAATTGCATGTTCTGACTGACAGGGTAAGTTTGAATTTTGTTCCTAGAAAATGGCCATAGGAGAAGTTGTATGTAACCACAGAATAACTTCCCTAGTATTCTGGGATGTCCTGATCTGCAGTCACTCTGCAGGATAGCAAGAAAAACGTTTGTTTTGCAGACTTTCCTGTAGCGTGAACAAGGGGTCAGTTAAGGTATGGTGTTTATTTCAGGTATTTCTTTTACTATGAAAACCAATACATAAATCTCTGCTCTTCAGCACTGATAGGGATTTAGATTTCCTGTTTTATTGTAGCACCATCTTGCCTATTACCTTAAGATGATCCTTTTTGTAGTAATGCATTCTGATTGTCCCACCAGTTATCCCATGGTGTGACCTACATTAATCTTACCTTCCTTATATTTACTTTACTTTTTACTGTATTCCAGTGCAGCTGTGGCAGATGTGTTTCTTGTGGATGAATCCAGCAAAATTACATCAAACTTTCAGCTGGTAAGGGCCTTTCTGTTAAAAACTGTTAATGCCCTAGATATTGGTCAGAGTAATGTTAAGAGTTGGGCTAGTGCTGTACAGTAATGAGGCAAGGCTAGTGCTCACCTTGGACACATTCAGGGATAAATCGGAAATTCTGAGTTGATTGAAGAACTTACCATATCAAGAGGGGCAAACATACACTGGAGCAGCCATAGAATTCCCAAGGAAGAAGGTTTTTACTCAAGAAGCAGGCAGCAGGGAAAAACAAGGAGTGCAGCAAATTGCTGTGGTGGTCACTGATGGCCAGACCTTGGAAAATGACACTGAACCAGCACGTAAACTAAGACAGAAGTGCGTTACTGTCTATGCTGTGGACATCCAGAATATCACAGAGAGTAGCAAACTTGATAAAGTTGCAACTTAGCCCCCCAGGAAACATGTCACCACCCTGAAGTTTTTCCTACAGCTGTCAAATATTGGATGGAAAATAAAGAAACAGCTTTTGTCACAATGAGATTGTGACAAAAATGTTTGTAGTCCCATTACACTTGTGAAGTTTGGAAAAAAAAAAAGTACATAGATAATTGTCACTTCAGTGCTGTTAGACTTGCTGCTGGTCCATGCACCATCTGCAAGAGGAAATTAATGCAAGAGGAAATTAACATTCAGAAAGCTTTTAGTGACGTATATTAAGTTCTGGTAGTGATTGACCCAAGTATCATCAAGGTAAGAGCTGCCCTGCTTAGAACCAGGCTTAGGGGTCAGGCTGAGGCATTGGAGGTCAGGCTTAGGGGTTAGACCTCATGTAGTGCATGGATCATCTAGTGTTAGATCTGCAGTTCAAAAATGTGCAGCAGCTCATGGTAGTTAATGACTCGGAGTTTGAGGTGGATAAAGTTCAGTTTGGTGTTTTGGTCTGTAGCTCCAAGCAGGAGATGCAGTTCTCACTGAATTCATACTCCTCTGAGCTTCAGAGTCGAGAAGCAGTATTCAGCTTGAAGCCTCTGCCAGGCCAGCTCTTCACAGCAAGAGCTTTGGACTTTGCCAGGCAGAGATTTGATGTGAACTAGGGTGGACGTGCATCTTTCCTTCCTGTCTCCAGACTCCTTATTCTTACTGATGAACCAACTGTACCATTGGATAGAGCCAACCTTCCCATGGCCATAAAACTTTTGAAAGGAGTTGGAACCAACTTAACTGCTGTTGGAGTGAACAAAGCAAGCAGAGCTTGAAGAGATTACTCTGAAGGTCAAGAAAGATTACTCTCTCAGAGCTGCAATGCACTGCCAATAAAAATGTTAGGGAGCTCTGCTTGTGCAGTGAAAATGACAGGCAAGAATCCTCTCCACTTCAGTGGTACCAACAGGCTGTCTTTCTCCACAGCAGTCATGCAGTTCAAGTGGTTTCTTTCTTACAGTGGCCCTTCAGGTAGCAAGAGGATGAGTGTGGTGAGTGGAGTAGTTGATCTGACTTACTGGTAGATAACGTCTGACCTCCCTCACCTGAGGGTTTGTCTTTGCTTACAAGCTCTGTCATGACTCTGCTAGCTGGTCTTCTGGATGATATGTAAAGGTCTGTGACTTCTTCTGCAAGTTAATAGCAGAAAGGGATGGATTTTTATCTACTCATGGAAGGTCTCTCGGTTGCAGTAGGATAGATAATGGATTGACCTTGCATGGCCTTGCTGTGAACAGCTTCTGTGACTAAAGGTTTACACTGCAGAGAACAAGGAAAAGATTAAACACTGGCAAGGTTATGTTCCTCACTAGTTGTTGTGGTGGGTTTTTTTCTTTTTCTGTTTGTTAGTTTTCATCTCTGCTTTTTCCCTAAGTTTGCAGCAATCAAGTGGCAGATCTGGTATTCCTGATAGACGGATCAGAAAGCATGTCAAAAAGGAACTTTTCTGTCATGAAGACCTTCATGATGGAAGTTGTGGACAGCTTTGTTGTTTCTAGGGACAAAGTACTTGTTGGAGTAGTCCAGTACAGTTGAGAGCCCCAGAAAGAATCTTCTTTTAATGAGTTCTATACTGACATGATGATAAAGGAACAGGTCAACAGCATCGAGCAATTGCAGTGCTCTACATTTACTGGCAGAGGGCTGAGGCTTGTGCAGAGCCTTTTTCAACCTGCCAGTAGAGGCCACGAGAGCCAAGGAGTCTCACAGAACCTTGTAGTGATTCCAGGTGGGTACTCTGCCGACAGGGTGGAGGATGCAGCAATGGCTTTGTCAAGTGATGGAATCCATGTCTTTGCAGTTGACATAGGGATTATAAATTCCTTTGAGCTGCTGGTGATGCAAGGAGAGTGTTCACAGTGGAAAACCTTGATGCACTGAAAACCATTGAGAGGAGTATTGTCAATCAGGTCTGTGAATCCAAACATCTCCCTGGCCAGAGGAAGTACCATAAATGTTTTGTTGGGTGCATAATGGCAAATATCCACATGGCTACATGCAGTCCCTGATAAGAGTACCTGAGCTAGCTGGACAGCAGTGCTGCTGTTTTACCAAAGAATACTGCTCAGGTTACTCAGTCTTGTAACTTACTAGACTTGTACCTTACTTCAGTCAAGAACCATTAGACTCTTTGCTATGAGTAAATAGCTTCTGAGGTAAGATAGTGCTTCACATCTAGCATTCATATTCATAACTCCTTAGTGTCTGAAAGGAGCCAGAGCAGATATACCCAAGGTATCCAAACCAAAAAGAGAAACAGATGATTCAGTGTTTTTTAAAAAAAGATTCTTCCAAAAGCCTGACTTTGTCATCTACATCTGTCCATACTGCTTCAGTGGGACTGTCAGCAGCAACTGTTGACAAAACTTAAGTCTCATAGAGGCAGTCTGGACAGGGCATGTGAGAAAATCCATCCTTGGATATGTGGGAGGTATTGGCAAGATATGAGCAGCAAATCCACAGTAATGCTGAGATGCTACCTAAAGGCTTTCCCTATATAAGAAACAGAAGGTAGTATCTCTTACTACATTGTCTTGGTGGCAACACTAGCTTGGATGCCACACAGCCCAAGAGGCTCCCAACCCCAAAGAAAACAAAGGTTCAGTGTTGCCTTTGATTAATGTAGCAACTTTTATCAGATGCCAGATGCTGGTTTGGTATCTTGAGTTTATTCTGACTTGATGCTGCGGTGTCAGTCACTTTGTCATGCAGGAAGACTGAAGCAGAAAACATACATGGTTGCTCTTTAAAATTACATATTCATGCCAGTTATGTAGTAAAGTTAAAACTGTAGATGTGTGCATTAAGTGGCAAAAAGAAAAATGTAGTGAATGACGAATCAAAAGCTGAGCTCTTCCCCTGCTGAAGGTGAGGATGACCTACTGTGGTGTAAGTAGGTGGCACTGATTATGGATAGCAGGAAGAGACCGTTCTAGAGTGGTTCTTCTCTCTGTGCCCATCCTTACAGGGACTGTGACTGTCCTTTAAAACTCCTTGTTGTCTTCCCTGTGTTTTCACCGTATAGGGGATGTTTTACATGTGTTGGCTACGTGTTCTTTGGTCTCTTTGTTAACGCCATAAAACTGATCCAACCCAGTTCTCCAGGTTTCATTCTCTTACTGACCAGAAACTTACTGTGAGAAAGGAACACTGGGATGACCACCCTGCTTGTCTAAGGCTTTTTGTAACAACAGCTGAACAAATAGAAAACTTTGCCTCTCCTGCACTCCGGGCTCCTGAGATCTTGAATACCCCAAAACTAGCTGGTGTTTGCTGGAGTGTTGGGGGCCAAAATGAAGAGCTGAGCCTTCTCTCCTAAAGCCAGAAGCTACTCTCTGTGTGAATTATATCTGCTCAGGTGGTTTTCAGAGAGGATGACAGCTGGGCCTGTTTCACTATGAGCTCTGCAACCCCCCCCCCCCCCCCTCCCCCCCCAAACGCTTTGCCCCCG